AATTTATTTCAAAAAAGATTTTTGTAATATGCTTTCTATATCCTTTTAAATTCTGTAAAATCTGTGGTAATGTCTCCTAGGTCTTGATACTGTAATTCTAAAAATGTATAATTGATATTGTGTAATAGGAAGAAAAGGTCTAAAGGAGCAGGGGAAGTGGGAGGGGTATGGGAAAGGAAAAAAGGGAAAAGAAGAAATATGAGAAAAGGAAAAAAATGGAAACAGAGTCTTTGCAAATAGGGAAGGGTTGAGGGGGTGAAGGGAGGGCAGAGGAAGGGGAAAAAAAATAAGAACCAAGATACTCATGTAATGGTACAAGATCTCAATGATGAATGTAACTGTATTTTAAACCTAAAATGTACCAATAAACTTAATGGGAAAAAAAAATACCGCATGGTTATAAAAACCAATATTAATTCTAGTTACTACTTGATGCAAATGTTTATTCAATAACTTAATGACTAGGCACAGTGATGTATTAGTTTCAAATATTCACCTGTTAGTTATTTATTGCATTTATTTATGAAGTTCTGCCTCTGGACCTGCTGGAGTGCTATATAAAAGAAAGCTGGACAGGGCCATCAGACTAGCTTTGGCCAGTGCATGTGAGAGGACATGACACCCATGTCTATGCAGATGTTTCAAGAACTACTTCCTGTTCTCTCCAGCTCTATTACTCTTTCCCTCTGGCATGGACATAGCTCATCCCAGAGAAGGCCATTCCTTCACCCAAGTCCCAGACTAAGAAACAAGGAGCAGAGCTGCAATCTAGCCACATGTAAAGTAAGCAAGAATAAACTGTTGTCATTACAAGCCATTGAGATTTAGAGAGCTTTTATTACAAGTATTATACTAACAAAACCTAGTGAACATTGACTGCCATTCTTGGTAAAAAGCACTGCTGATGGGACTTGTACCTATGTATATACCTACTGAATATGCCCTGGATAACAGAGTTTAGGATGCAGTAGGATACTAGAAACCCTACAGGATTCCCCACACTACTCCCTGAGAGCATCATGAAAATTTGCCACAAAAACAAACTTCTAATGTAAACCAAAACAGTCTCTTGTTTCAAAATTGTCCTGGAGAATAGATCAACAAGGAAAAGAACCATATTTGGTTTAAAAGCTATACAAGCCTAACTGTCTCCTATTACACTGTAAAAATTCCAAGCCAGGCACAGTGGTGCACACCTGTAATCCCAGCATGCCAGGAGGCTGAGGCAGGATTGTAAATTTGAGCTCAGCCTGGGCAACTCAGGGACTTAGCAAGACCCTGTGTCAAAATAAAATATAAAAAAAGGACTGGGGATGTAGCTTAGTGTGAAGGCTCCAAGCTCAAGCCCCAGTACCACACACAGAAAAGAGCTCTTCTGTGTCATGTTGAACTTAGAAAGAAGTGGTCTTATGAACAACCTTTGAGAAGATAAGAGATGATCATGTATAAGGTGATGCTATAACTAGGAGTCAGTCCAGTAGTAACAAAAATAATATTAACATTGGCTAGAATCAGGATCCCCCACTACAAAACCATATCCTATAGAAAAATTGATTGAGCCAGTAACTATAGTAAAACTGATTTTTTTCCATTTCTATCATCTCTGCTTGCTTTTCAATCTAAACAATTATTTTAATTTCTTCACAAATATCAAGAGCTTTCAATTCCACAACTAAAACTGAATTGTGCCAAAAATCCTTCCTTTGCATTAAGAACAGGTGTGAGACATTATTTCTACTAGGCAACTAAGTTCAATGAATAATTTTAAAAAGGAAGTTTTAACATCCTTGCCTTGCTGGATTTTTTCCCCATATAATATCTTTTACCTAAAACCAAATTGATTCTTTTTCCAGACCATAAACCAAAAGTAAAAAAGTTGTATTATTTGGTGAACAGTGCACAGATGAGTTTGTATTACTCAAAGAGGAAATGAACTTCTAATATAAACTGTCACACAAGTCACCTGTATTTCACAAACTACTCTAATTTCATCTTAAGCATGAAGCATATTTCTTAAAAACAATAGTCCCAGTTTCAAAGAAGTAGGGTTAAAAAAGGTCACAACCAGCCATCAAAAGTGCCTAAAAGGAACAGTGAATTAGTAAAAAGCATCACAGGACAAAGGAGAAAACCCTCAGGCAAACTGCCTCCAACAAGTTGGTTCAGGTTCTTCCATACTATGAATATTGCATTATAAAAAAAGGAAACAAACAACTTCTTCTATTAGAGAGCTATACATTTTATAATTGTTAAAAGGATCCTTTGCAGAAAGTTAGCTTATTGTCTAGAACTTTAAATGATGATTTTGATCCCGTGCCTACCTCTCTTCCTCCAAGCTCACTTAGTGGGAGATTTGACACTGTAGTTGATGGTTCAATGTGATAAAAAGGAGGAGCATTTGCACATTTGAGGTACAAAGAAAAAAATGAAATGAAAGAAGACAAATGCCTGCCTCCTGCTTTCTGCATGGAAGAAATCTGTTGTAAGTGCTCAAATCTTTGTTAATTTACCCACTCTATCTACTGACATAATATGGTATGAGCAACAAACAAGTAACTAGACGTGAGACACCTTTTCTTTTGTTTTTAAAAAAATTTATAAAATTCTTTTAAAAATATTTTATAGATTTATTCCTCTGACAGATGTTTGCATGAAGACTAGATTTAAATTTTTAATTATATTTTTTCTATATCAATACATTCTGCTGTTAAATTAAATTACAATTTAAAGTGATAGTACAAAATTGGAGGCTCTTACAATAATTTGACTTATAATCCCAAATCGTAGTTTAAAACATTATTGCAGGTTTATTTGTTTTATTTGAACTTAATTTACGTCTTTATTTTTAGTGCATGTATATAGTACATAATGATTACATGCCTCATAGGGAGTTGGTATATATACCTAACACATCTTAATTCTTTTTTTAGCTCCTTCCCCCTGCCTCCATCTCTTGTTCCTTTTCCCTTTTGAAAAAGATCTATCTCCCTGTTTCCTATTATCTATTTTTTTTATTTTGCTCTTCAATTTGTTTCCACTTTGGGTTGATTCTTTTTCTTTATAGAGAGTGACTCCTATTCTGGAAAAAGTCTTCTAATACTGAATTACTCATTTTATTGAAAATTTATTTCAATAATTTCAACGTGATGATTTTTATTGATCTCCTAAGACTGTCAATTTGTTGTTCTATTAAACCTCTTAAGGTAGAAGAGTTTAGCCTACAAATTTCATATCGTAATATTGATTTGTCTCATAATTATCATTACCACCCTAACCACCAACCTGGTGCAATTTTTCTGCTTTATAAAACAGGAAATTGAATATGACATCAATGGAAATCTAGAGATGGAATAGAATAGTTTTAAAAGAAAAAGAAAAAAAAAGAAGAAAGACTAATGAGGCTTTCAGTTCAAGTTTTCATATTTATTTGTTCACTTACCATTACAGTAGGGATTAGATGGATTAAAGTTCATTGGAAATTCATGAGATACCTGTAAAAAGACAAAAGAAGGGCTGATGAGACTTTTGCTTTTCTAGAAAGTAAAGCTTTAAAATATGATTTCATCTTACCTGCCACTGAGGAGGTATCTGAGCTCCAAAACCAAAAGCTGGAAACAATTTATCACTACAAAGAAAAATTGAAAAAAGTGAAATACTGTTTTGATTTGTTTTTTCAAAACAAGAGCTTTATCTTTACTGACAATAAAAATCAGTATGAGCTCATTTTTATTTTTTCTTTTTAAATCTTAGAAAGGTATAAAGACAAAACAAAGATTGCCTGTAACTATCAGAGAGAACCAATGCTTACACCTGACACCTCCCTAAATATTTTTCGGTGCATTGAAGGAGAAAAAACTCTACATATCCTATAAAAATGAAATTTATATTCATGTTTTATGACCTACTCTTTTCTACTTAAATCTTACACATAATTTCACCAAATGAATGTATAAATAAATCCATAAAGCCCTAAAACCACAAGTTTTTTCATTTGCCTATAGCAAATTCATTTGGTAACCTGACCTCAACTAATAAAGTTATCTGTAACATTCATTTAGGACACTTAATATGAATGTTCATCCATTTGACCAGAGCAATAGGGTACAAATGCCAAATACCATAAAATTCTCAGGTTTCTGTAGCAAAATGTGTGAATATTTGCCTCCAAGGGTTTAGGGATAGGGACTTGGAGCTGCATATGTAACATCATGTGAATGGCTGCTGAGTCTACGGTATGGCTGGGCCCCCTATCCACACTAGTAAGACAACCAAGGTTCTGCCACTATAAAACACTCACAAACACACTAATTCTCTACCTGGGATATTCTTTGCATTTTAATTCTTAATGTTTCTTATTCCATTGAAGATACAACCTATGACAGGATAGAAATATTTCCCTTTATTTGTATTTTGTCTTTAACTTAGTTTAGAATATCTTTGCTTTCATAGTTTTTAATAGTAGTGGATATGAACACATAAAAATCTTTCATAATTTCTGCCTTTGCTGTCTTACTTAAGATACTGCAAGATTATAAACAATTCATATACATTTTCTCCTAGAACTTTCAAGGTTTGCTTTTGTTAATTAAATTTCTCATTCATCTGGAAAGCGTTTTGCAGTGGATTACCCCCTCCTTCAGTCACAGAACACCGGAGCTACAGAGCATACCTCCTAGCTTCTCTAGACTGGATGTGGTCAGGTGGTAGATTCTAGCCAAGGAGAGGTCAGTTGCTTCCTTTTTAAAAATCATATTTACTAACCACATTAGTTGTATCAATTACTGTGTTGCACTGTGACATTGTCATATGTGTATAAGTCAGCTGCTTCTGAATCATGCCTCTAAAAAGAAATGCACATCATTCCCAGGCCCTTTTCTGCTTTTCCTACTAGCTAGAGAAGGTGACTTGGACCCAGGGATGAAAGCTGTGATTGAGAAAGGCAAAGCTGCTCTAACAGTTCTGAACTACTTTCCTCTACTTTATCAAAGCTGCTTTGTTTTCAGGTGTCCATTTCAGCAGTTTGATCTATAATTTATACAGAATGGCAGCCTAACATTGACAAGTATGGGTCAGGAAATGAAATTCAATTCTTGTCCAGTTGGACGGCTGTTATAATCCCTTCCCCTTTCTAAAATGCTAACTTCTGTATATAAACTTCACATGTATGTAGGTACTTGTGGGTCTACTTCTAGCCTGTCTGCCTGGTGCCACTGCCCAGGTACTAGTTCTAATCTAACTTTAAAATAAGTTTTAGTAACAAGTAGAGAAAAATCCCCTTAACTTCTTTTTGTATTTCTTACTTGCTCGATTGCTTTGTTGTCTCCTTCCTTTTTATTTTTTGAGATAGAATCTCACCATGTAGCCCAAACTGAGCTAAAATTTGTGATCCTCTTGCATAAGCCCGAGTGCTGAGATTACAGGTGTAATCTCCTCCCAAAACTCAGTTTTCCCTCCTTTCTCCACCTCCTTTCTTTCTTGCTTTTTGTTGTTCTTTTTCTAAAATATGTCTTGGCTATTCTGATTTCTTTTTCCTTCTACAGAATTTTAAGGATGATTTTCTCAAGGTTCTATTGTCATCTTGGTTAATTTGGATTATTACAACATCTGCCTATTTAGAAAGTATGATATATCTTTCCATTTAAACAAGTTTCCTTCTTTGTTCTTTAATACAATTTTGTTGCTTCCTTCACTAAATATCTTAAATGTTTTACTTAATTCACTTTTTTAATTGGTTATTGCTGGTTAGGGAGAAACTGATTTTTTAAAAAATCTTACGTTGAATGTGAACACCTTTCTGAACTCTTGCTACTTTCTAATGTTTTTTCAGAGCATTCTGAAGCAATTACAATTAGTTTAAGTTACCTGTTAGCATTTGTTAGAAGTCATCATTAGAAAAAATAATTTGGCTAGATGCAGTGGTGTACACCTGTAATTCCAGCACTCAGGAGGCTGAGGCAGGAGGATTGCTGTGCATTCAAGGCCAGCCTAGGGTACATAGTGAGTTCAGCTACATCCTGAACTTCATAGGGAGACCCATCTCAAAAAAAGAACTAAAAATAACTTGATGACTATCAAGAAAACAGATATATTAAGTAATAGTTTTTACTACTGCTTGCAAAATGTGTGATCTGGACTCAATCACATACAACTTATCCCAAATGATGAAACCCCAAAGAAACCCCATCAAAGAAATAACAAGTCTTGCTGACTTTAGTCAGCTACTAAACATGAAAGCTATATATTGAGCTGCGGATTTAGCTCAGTGGTTCTGCCGCCCGCCTTGCAAGCACAAGGTCCTGAGTTTGATCCCCGGTACCAAAAATAAAGAAAGCTACATATAGGACATTATAACTAATCACACCAAGAGATGAGAGATCAAAGGTAAACACTAGGAATGTTACAAGAAAAAAACAGAAAAAGTAACACAATAGAAATTTTAGGGAGAAAACTCCTTCCCTAAGCACCCTAATCCTACCACCTGTATCAGAGTACACGGTAATAAAACAGAAAGTGCCTTTTCTGGGGAATTAAGAAAACGAATATTTCAGTGTTTCTACAGTCATACTTACGCATCATAATCTTGAATAACCTGCCCCACAGACCAGATGGCCGTCAGATACTCATTAACACCGTTGGGGCTGATGTAATGAAGGGAGTCCGGAGACCTGGGGTCACCATTGGAGCCAGTGAAATCCACTCCCACCTGCCAAATAACAATGGCAGCCCTTACTAAGGAGAAGGCATGGCCACTCATGCTTGAGGTCCAAGAAAACTTCAGCAGATGAGATACAAACATTCACTCCAGAGCCTGCTACTGCTATTTCATAACAAATGCCTACCAGTATCTCCACAGCTGACTAAAGAGTTAAAGCCTCAACATGGAACAAACTGCTGTTCTTGTTTTTCTGGCTGTCTTAAATCATGAATCATACTCATGACTCAGACTTACAGGTTGTTCTTTGTAAGTTTGTTGGGTTAGTGCTTTCTATTCCTTAAATTACTGCAAGATAACTACTGGTTGGTGCATATCTGCCTTCCCTCAAGAGGGACAGATTTCTCATCAACAAAGCCAAAATGTCCATAGTGAACCTAAATAACTGGTCCAAAGTCTCAGAGGAGTTCATATTAAATGCACTGTATAAATTTCATAACAAAGTCAGTTTATAAATAGTACAAAACAGAGGGAAAAGAGCAACATTTTACAGCATATGTTGGAAAATTCAGTGACTTACAGTAAAATTCAGCTGACATCCTCCCATGATGTAGTCAAGGAATGTGCATTCCACTGTAATCTAAAAATGAACAACATACTGTCAAAATTAACTCTCTTACTTTACAAGAGAAACCAAAGAACACTTTTGCACACTTTTAAAGAGTTTGTAATCTGAATAGCACATAATATAAATATGTAGAAATCATACCTATGCTTGATATAAGACACTCCTTCCTGATCCTGTCACAAATCTATAAGATTTTACTGTAGGATAATTAGAGTCATGTTAAGATTAGAACACTAATGGCCAAAGACAAAACATACTCACTTTATGTTTTATAAGATTAGGAATGAGTCTGATATTTTTACAGTCTTCATCAAGATTTTTTAAAAAATAAACACTTTTTTACTCTAAGAAGTTTTGACTTTTTCCCTCAATTCATAACATCTCATTTTGAAATTATACCCAGGAGAGAAGCACTGGGCCAGGCCACTTCCAACAATAGGCTGGAAAAATATCATGAATCTCTCCTTTCCTAAGATAATGGAAAAACTTTAATAGTCCCCCTCCTTTGCTAAAAAGTTGTCACCTTGGAAGAAAAGTTACTTGAAAGATTTCTTTAAAATTTCTCACACTTTTCTAGGCCCTAAAGGTAAGCCAATGCTCATGCGATTTTTAGTTTCCTAAAATCTTGTTTGATATGAACCATAATGACAGGAGAACTTGAAATGTAACATTACATTGTAATTGGCCCACGCCAACTGACCTCACAGTGTTTCACACTGATAACTCCTGAATTCTTATAGCTTTTTTTCTTTTGCTTCTTTTTTTCATTTATGCATTCATATTCAATCTGTAGGAAGAAAAGACGAATACTAATTTTTAGTAGCAATATCAGAAATGTCAATGAACAACATTTTCTCCTTGGAATCGACCCACTTACTGATAGAGGTCTGTTGCAAAATACACCTCTGAAACACCTCTGAAAATTAAATAATTCATTAAGTATGTGAAATATTTATTGGTTAAATTTCCAACAATCAAGGCACTCCTAAAATTGCACAGCTTTTAAAAGAGTTCATTTTTGCCACTACAATTCTTGAAATGCTCCAAATAATAACCTTTCTTCTTTATAATAAAAGAAGTAAAATATTACTCCTAGCTATTAGCAACACAAAGAACAAAAATATATGATTTAAAAATAAAGGAAAAACATCATAAAACAAATATTTGAAGCCCAACTCTGTGGTAAAATAAACAGCAGGTTATCCCCTTCCACTGGGAATACATGTTTAAAGGAGAAGGAGTAAAATTTCTAATATGCTTTTTTGTTGTAGTTCTTGCTATTTTGGGCTTTTTGGTTTTTTGAGACAGGGTCTTGCTATGAAGTTCAGGCTGGTCTTGAACTCTTTATGTATCCCAGGCTGGCCTCGAACTCTCTGTGATCATCCTGCCAAGTGCTTGAATTACAGGTGTGCACCACCACATCCGCTGAGCTTGCTTAACTTTCAAGCATTCAGACTTTCACCATTTCTCACTGGTTCTGCTTTTTAAATCTTTGCTAGAGCCAAGCATGGTGGCCCACACCTGTAATCCCAGCACTCTAGGAGGCTGAGGCAGGAGGCTAAGGCCAAGTGTACTTAACAAAATTCATGCCATTAGACAGTAGCTCAGTATTACAATATTTGAGGTACTACGAACTAAGCTTTAGTCCTTCCTTGGGTAAGGACAAGTGAGAGAGAAGAGTCAGAGGGCAGATTATAAAAGCCCATGGCCAAGTAGCATAAATGGACACAATTCAATGCCAGGTGTTTGTCCCGCATTGTAGATATTAATTATTGTGACAAGTGAAATTCCAAAAGCCTTAAAACTAAGGACTTTCAATCAAACCAGACATGCCATCTTTAGCAAAAGGAAATCAAACTTCTACATACACACTTGGTGAGAAAAGCAGTCCTGTGCACATAGTCTTTTGACATTCACTTGACCACATAAGGATTGACCTTGATCCTGATCCTCGCATGGTTCCTTACCAAGGAAGAAGAGTCTTCACAGTCTATCCTAGGATTATTATCTATGTGGACATACCTTGCCCAGTTTCAGACTCAATGAGTACTCCACTGTTGTTCTGCTTGAACTTATGCATCAGTGTCAGTGCCCTCAGCCCCAATCTCAGCTTTCAGTATTTCAGACTCAGCAGAAGACTGGTGGAGTCCTACCACTAAAGCACAAGATGAGTGCACGTCAGCCAACTGCCCTGCTTAGGCTGTCAAAGAGAACCTGCTGGCTACGGGGTACAGGCACCTGCTAATGACACTGATCTTGCTCTCCCCTCTCTATGTGAGTAAGGTGTTTTTTCATCCAGTGCTGGACTGCATTGTTTTCCTTGCCAAGATAAGAGTGGGCAAAAGCATTTAAACAACCTAGTGACTGATATCATAACGACACAATTCCCTCCATGTAGTTGGAGTCCTCATTGACACTGGGAGCCATCACATGGTGTTCTGCTCAACAAAACTAATATCCCAAATATGAATTTTGGATTGCCTTATTACTAAACAAAACCTACAGATTTTAGAGCATCATGAGTAAAAATGTGGTAAACTCTTTGCTATGCCAAAGGAAAAAATAATAAACACAGCTAAACTAAGTCCTACACACAAACACAAAGATAAAACTTACAGGTGAGTTTCTGGAGGCTTCTTTCAGTTTTGTCATGGTAGTTTGAAATGTTCCAATGAGATCATGTGACCCATCACTGTCATAATCATAACACTCTACCTGGAATTAAATATAAATAAATAAAAGTCAATATAATTTTATTAAAACATATTAGCTACAATAAATGACCTATCAAAAAGTAACTTTTTGGGGGATTTAACTCAGTGGTTCCGGCGCCTGCCTTGCAAGTGCAAGGTCCTGAGTTCAATCCCCGGTACCAAAAAAAAAAGTAACTTTTTAATTAAAGTAAGTAAAATGTTTAATATGCAGCTCTTACCTGGCAAAGTGAGAACTTCCTAAAGAAGCAAGAAACACTTTCAAAGCCCAGCTATCATTGGATAGGGCCTCTTTGATGGAGCACAGCCAATAACTAAATACAAATGCTGCTTAAATTCCACATTAAGTAGTTTTCAGCTCCTCTATCATAACTCCTATAAGGAGTAATAAAAGGTAAAATGGAATTATACCTACTTTCTCATCTACTTCATTACTTTGTTATCACTGCACAGTGACTAGAAACCATTATCTGGAGAAAGAAAGGAAGTCAATATCTCAGGCAGTTAAAATGGATATACTTAAGTCTTAGATAATTTAGAATTATGGAAAGTGTATTTCATAGACTGCAATTGGGAGAGGCTAGGTTTGTACGAAGAGTTAGCTATGATGAGGTCAGATTTGTATCATTCTGAGGATCACAGATTTTTACAAAGAAAAGGAAAAGAATTTAGTCCACAGAGCAAGTATCTATAACCATATTTATTCCATTCCCATATAAGACAGGATGAGTCCCAGATTAGGCTCTTGTTCAATGCTCTCTCTCTGAAAGCAGAGAAAAGAAAGGTGAGAATATTTGATTTACAGATAGTTTGGTGTCACGCTGACAGATGTAGCTATAAAGTAAATAGTATTTCCAGTGGGAAAAATAAAGTGATATGAACTATTAGAAAGCAGTGGTGTTCAAAGGAGCTGAAAACTGACCATAATGATGGTGAATATTCAAACCAATATTTTGACAGTACTTCATAATTTCAAAACAGATTACTTCATTTCTGTGAACATTTATTATGTGCTCCATGCACAGCCTCTAAATAGTTTTGTAAGGTACACAGAGTCGAAATCCTGCTACTATAATTATTCTCATTTTGCAGAACTAAGACTTGGAGGAATTAAATAAAAATTCTTCGATGATCCTATGACTTGTGTGGTAATTAACACAGGTAAAGTAAGGCTGTGTGTGCTAAGGATACTTGAAAGCTTCTATTGCCTGTGCTTCAAAGTAAAAGCTTGCAACTGAGAAGCAACTTCCATTTGCCCTCAGCCAAGAGAGCTCCATCTAACTACTACTCTTCACAAGTTATTTTAGGTGGTTTCCGTAGTGTAGTGGTTATCACGTTCACCTAACACAAGTTATTTTAATCATCAAGCTAAAATGCTCCAGATTTTTGTTTGTTCACTTGACAAAGTGATTGTTTTTATTCTCAGTTCTAGATAATGAATTATCTTTCATTCCTTAGAGTCTCATTATTCTTCAGAATCACTAAAAATCAGTCAGTCAAAACAGGCAAGTTCTAAAATTGCAATTGTGTGCAGCAGTAAAGGATTTTATTTATTTAAAGAAAAGCTTTGTAAGCACTTTGGTCACTAAGTCTGACAGTTTGACTCTTGCCCTACATATTCAAAATCAAATTTTAAAATCAAAATTGCTTTATCCAACTCTTTAACTTGTCAGTGGAAAAGAAAAATCAATAGTTCTAATGATTTTTTCTAGAGGAAGTAAAATCTCAATGAAATAGAAAATTGTCTTAAAATTTTAATAAGATCAATTTTTAGCAGATATTTTCCAATTATACAATACAGAACCTGACATTTTAGATTTCCATTCAGTAAATACCAGTTTATATCTAAGCAAGATTAAGCTTTAATAAGGTCAAGACTTTATTTAAACAAACCTTATTGAAGGACTAAAACTGTGGCCATGTTTATTTAGACTTAAACTTCAAGAAATATTTTTAAAATTGAAATTAGAAGTTCTAATTACTCACTATAATAAATAGATGGAAAGAGCTCCATTTTTCCCCCTGGAAGGCAGACCTAATTTTTTTTGTGTACATGGTATTAGGGATTGAACCTAGGGCCTCTTGAAGACTAGGCAAGCACACTACCAGTGAGCTGTACCCTTAGCTTTCTTATTCTTTTTCTTTTTTTTCTCTTTCTGACACAAGGTCTCACTAAATTGCCCAGGCTGAACTCAAACTAGCAATCTTCCTGCTTCAGCCTACAAAGTAGCTGAGATTACAGGTGTGCACTACCACCCCTGCTGAGGCAAAATGAATTGTTATTTAATTCTTCTCAAGAATTCAAACATCAGTACTACTGGCTCTTTAAACCAAGCATTAGCAGAACTTGAGAAATTTAAATGCATGCATATATACATATATAATACATACATATGTATATATGCAAAATAATGCACAGACCACACAAAGTTACATTCACTATGGCATTCCCATTTTAGGCAAAGGAGCAGCATGCACGATTATTCCTTTTATTCACTTCATCTTATGAAAATAATACATGCTAGAGTGATAGCACATTACAGCAAGGAAACTACTTAAGAGTCTGACACTATTCTCTGCTCTATAATTCTTTACTCTGCTTCTAAGTAATTTCCAGACAGTAAGTGCATCACAAATATATGACTATCTGATACTGCAAAGAAATACAGGGCTAGAGAAATAAAGTGAGTGATGATATGGCAAACTTAGAAACTGTTAAGAATGGAAGATATTTATCAAAGAAAGCTCAGAAAAATCACTTTACTTACTACAATAAAATAGTTCTGTAAGCATGCCACTGTGAGCAAAAAAGTTTTAGAAACATTGTTTTGGTGTTAACATATTATTATAAACTGTTAGTTATGGTCTACAAATTTTTTCCCCCAACTTACCTGCCTTCTCGGATCTAATGAGTTTTACAATTTTTAATGGGAGAAGTTAAAGTTCTAGATTTCATCTAATAAAAAGCAATTTTTATAGCTACTTTTCTACTATTTATATTGTACCTAGAATTTTAGTGCTGTCTGAAAAACCATAAAAATCATATTTAACATTGCTTTTTCAAGTTTCCTACCAACTGGAAATAATTTCTTATGCACCTCAGAAAATAAGCAGTTTTCAATATGAATGCCATCTCTACTATGTTTTACAATTTATAAATTTTCACTTTCTTTATTTTACCTTAACTTTCTTGAAAGGTAGAAATTATAACCTCTACAATATAAGTGAAGAAGTTAGCTGACCTGCCCAACATCCCTTACCTGGTTAAGGGGCTAAGTCAAAACTTAAACTATGTCAGGCTCCATGTCTTACTCTTATTTTACAACCTTACCTTTCTTGCTTTCACTATTTTAACTACAATATAGAAAAAGAAAGCTTCTATCTAGAATCATGTAATGATAATGACTCCAGATAAAGTCATTCATGTGTGTGTGTGTGTGTGTGTGTGTGTGTGTGTGTGTGCATGTGTTCGTTTTGTTTAAACACTTAAGCATAAAACTATTTTTTGAAAAGCCTCTGAGACATCTCTGATCCCATTCCACTTCCCTGACATTCTAAAACTAAAGCTAACTAAAGTCTTCAATGAATTTTTATAATTTGTTTTCTGAAAATAAAAGACAGCAATGCTGGGCTGGGGATTTAGCTCAGTGGTTCCAGCGCCTGCCTTGCAGCGCAAGGACCTGAGTTCGATCCCTGGTACCAACAACAACAACAAAAAAAGACAGCAATGCTATTACTTTCTCTTCCACAGTGCTAGAAGAAATTTCTGGGTTCTTAGTTACATACATGTTTTTATCTGGAAAGAGTACACTAAAAAGCAAAAAATATAGTTAATAGTGCCTATTCACAAAACAAAGGAATCTTATAAAAAATATAAATTGTAAATTTTATTTCTAGAATAAAAAATAGAAAATAAACTGTTTGATGAAACATTAGGTCAATATATCAATCGAACACACCCACTTCTTCAAACACATAATTTTACTAATCAGAAAACATTTTTGTTTTAGTATTCTCACACACACAATACTCAAGTGTATAGGTATCTGTTATTTATTTGTAAAAATGCTATCTTATTAATTTTGTAAAACAGATGAATGTGTCTGTATTTATGTGTATTATATACAGACAATCCCTGTTGTATGGTACAAAAGTATCATGCATTCAGTGGAATGCAAACTTTCAGTTTCGAATTTGTATCATTTCCTAGACTAGAGATATGCAGTAAGATTCTCTCCAAATCCTGGGTAAAAGCTGCAAACAGCAGATCCCAGTCAATCACACCAAGGAAAACAGCTGATATAATACAGTGTACTGTGTTGCTAACTGTGATGTTAGCATGGTTAGGTATATTAAATACATTTTTAACTCATGGACTTTTCTTGTTGCTGGAGATTAACCTCAAGCCTTCACACATGCAAACACACATTTTACCATGAGCTACACGCCAGATTAACTTAGAATATCTTCAATTTAAATTGAATTTATCACGATGTAATCCCATTTTTGGTCGAGGAGCATCTACATATAATTTCAAATTACCTTAATGGTTTTGTCCATATCTCCATAGCACAGGGAGTTAAGAGAGATTTTAAAAGGCTTCCAAACAGGATTCAAGTTGTTTTTAATAACCTATAAAGATGAAGATTCAAGGATCCATTAGAACAACATCCAGTTCATTAACATTTTTCTAATATTTTTAACATTTTTCTTACCTTTCTAAGGCTGTAGGTCAAATAAGAACATACTCTACTTTAAAGGAAGAGTATGGGAGACTGCAATATTGATTATGCAAAGCAGGCTGTAAGCAGTACAGGCTGCAAAAAATTAACCCCACAACTGGCTTGTTTATAAAAGTGAGTCTGGCAGAAGCCTACATGTTGAGGTTGGAGTAACTAGCACTCAAATTCTGTTCCCGCAATTAAAACTTTAATTAAAAGAACAATGTTCTAATTACAACCATATATTTTGTCTATTGTTTCTAATTCAATAATACTTTGTCTTTTTCCTTTGCAAAATGTGTCTCCATTAGCTTCCATAGTAACCACAGTCCCATCCTTGCACAAACCCCTTTACCCCAATTGATGACCAATAAAAATCAGTGGCTTAGCTATGAAAAAAGAGATGGAAGAGGATATAAGAAAATGGAATAGGGCTGGGGATTTAGCTCAGTGGTTCTGGCACCTGCCTCGAAAGCGCAAGGACCCGAGTTCAATCCCCGGTACCAAAAAAAAAAAAAAAAAGATTCCTTGGCCAGGGATTTAGCTCAGTGGTTCAGCCGCCTGCCTTGCAAGCTCAAGGTCTCGAGTTCAATCCCTGGTACCAAAAAAACAAAAACAAAAACAAACAAAGAAAATGGAAAGACATCCCCTATTCCTGGGTAGGAAGAATCAATATAGTGAAAATGGCCATACTTCCAAAACTGCTATACAGATTCAATGCAATCCCAATTGAAATCCCAATAGCATATTTCACAGAACTAGAGAAAACAATCCAAAAGTTCATCTGGAACCAGAAGAGACCTAGAATAGCAAAAGCAATTCTAGGCATCAGAGTGATGGCAGGGGGTATCACAATTCCCAACTTGAAACTGTACTACAAAGCCACTGTGATAAAAACAGCATGGTACTGGCAAAAGAACAGACCCGAGGATCAGTGGAATAGATTATAAGATGCAGAAACAACTCCAGGCATACTCAGCTATCTCATCTTTGACAAAGGAGCCAACCATCCTCACTGGAGGAAAGACAGCCTCTTTAATAAATGGTGTTGGAAAAACTGGATTTCAACTTGCCAAAGATTAAAACTAGACCCCTATCTCTTACCATGCATTAAACTAAAATCGAAGTGGATTACAGATCTAAATATTAAAACAAACACTAAACTTGCTGGAAGACAAGTTAGGTAGAACTCTTGAAGACATTGGTATAGGAAAGGACTTTATGAACAAATCCTCTGTAGCACAAAGAACCAGCCCAAAGAATCAACAACTGGGATCTCATCTTATTAAAAAGCTTCTGCACTGCAAGAGAAACCACCAACAGAGCTAAGAGACAACCTACAATGTGAGAAAAAATGTTTACCAGCTGTTCCTCAGACAAAGGTCTACTATCTAGAATACATGAAGAACTCAAAAAAATCAGACCCCCTAAATATAAACACCCAGTTCAAAAATGGGCATCTGAAATGAACAGACATTTCTCAGACAAAGAAGTAAAACCAGCAAATAAACATATGAAAAAATGTTTAACACCACTGGTCATTTGAGAGATGCAGATGAAAACAACACTGAGATTCCACCTCACCTCAGAAAGAATGGCTGCTGTCATGAAATCAACCAATAACAAGTGTTGGCGGGGTTGTGGGGAGAAAGGAACCTTTCTTCATTGTTGGTGGGAGTGCTGACTAGTGCAACCACTGTGTAAATCAATATAGAGATACCTCAAACAACTAGGATTGTATGTCCAATTTGACCCAGCTATTCCTCCACTGGGTATCTTCCCAAAAGAATTAAAAGAATCATACCACAGTGATATATGCGTACCCATGTTTACAGTGGCACAGTTTATAATAGCTAAAACTTGGAAACAGCCCAATTGCCCATCAACTGGAGACTGGATAAAGAAGATGTGGGGTTTTTTGAAATGGAGTACTACTCAGCCATAAAGAATGAGAAACTAGACATTTATAGCTAATTGGATGCACATTGAGGCCATACTCTTAAGTGAAATAAGTAAGATTCACAGGTGTAAATACCAAATGGTTTCTCTGGTGTGAAAAACTAAAAGTGTAAATAAGAATCAAAATGTATAACTGATATTGTGAAATAGGAAGAAAATGTTTAAAGGAGTAGGGGAAGTGGGATGGGAAGGGGAAAGGCAAGAAGGGAAAAGAAAAATATGAGAAAAGGAAAAACATGGAAACAAAGTCTTTGTAAATAGGGAAGGGTGGAGGGGTGAAGGGAGGGCATGGGAATGGGGAAAAAATAAGAACCAAGATACATCATGTAAAGGTACAAAATCCCAATGATGAATGTAATTGTATAGTATACCTAAAATGTACCAATAAACTAAATGGGAAAAAAAAAATCAGTGGCCTGGAACGACCAGCGCCTTTTGCTAAAATAGCATTGGCAGTTCTGGCTCCTCACTTTCTGTCTCTCTTAGTTCTGACTTTTAGGTTTGTTTTTTTTTTCCCCCGAGGTTTGTGTCATACACTGAGCAGGAGTCTGGAGCCTACTGCAGAGATTTCCAGGTTTCAGGGATCTCCAGTGAAGAGAACACTTAAAGACTTAAAGGGGTTAAATTAAAGAACTCAGGAGCCATTTGAAGGAGCTCTCCTTGGACATATCTGGATTAATTTGAATAGCAAAAATAATGGCATTAATGAATTATAACAACTCATGAGTTTATAATCATACTAAAACAGAAAAAGTGAAGAGATGAAAAAGGAATTCCTGCTAATGTAAGTAAAAGGGATACAAATTCAGAAAAAAATCATTTTTTATAGTCCTTGATATCACTGATTCAAGTATATATGATCAATGAATGTAAAAACCACTCGATAAAGAGAATAGGTAATGAATGCAGTCTCAAAACATCACACCACAAATAACTTATTAATTAGGCAAAAAATGGGACTTATTGTGGCAAGATCTCATGGGCACCACTTAACCAAGTAGCCATGCCTGGCATCATCAATATTGGGCAGCCTGACATAAGGAGCCCCCAGGGATGCAAAGGAAGGAGCATACAAAGTGCTCCTGACAGATTTGTTTCATCTGGATCTTTTTGGAAGGAAAAAGAAGAATCTACATGTTGGACATCCTGGTCTTAATTATTCAAGAAATTCAATGAGAGGCAAATAATAGAGTCCTGTGTTAAGAACATAAGAGCCAAATGTAAAACATAAGCTTTTACTCAATCTTGGACAAAAGAAAGCAAAAATATATATATAAAACATGTATGGAACATCTGAAGAAATCAGAATATGAATGTTACATTGAATGGCATTACTAAATTAATGTTACTTTTCTCACACACAATGGCATAGATTCCCCTTATTCTTGAAAAATGCCTGCTGTAGCATTTAAAAGAAAGAGTCATTAAGTCTGCAGCCTTCATTTAAGATGGTTTTGCAAAAGGAAATACATGTGTGCATAGTGTGTGTGTGTGTGTGTGTGTGTGTGTGTGTGTGTGAGAGAGAGAGATGGGGGGATGAACACAAGTGTGCACCAGTCTGACCAGCTGTTGAACCTAGATGAGGGGTACACAGGAACACATTTAGGGTTTGTTATACAAATAAAAAGAAGCATTGCAGTACATCTTCATTATAATAAAAAGATTATATTAATCTTTTTAAAAGATTAAAAAGTAAACATGGAATGTAGTGACTTTGTATCTGTCTAAAAATCTAAACTCAAATTAATATTTTTATCAATATATAACTTTTTAAAATTCATGTTACTATAATTCCAACGAAAACTTTACTTTTCATTTCGGATATTTACCTCTGTTCGATGAACCATTAGCCAGTTTCCATCAGATGTCTGCTTATGAAACTCCAGATATGGGTCTGACTTTCCAAACAGATCCTACATTTAAAACAAGCAGGCATTTGGTTATGTTTTGAGGTTTTTTGGTGGGATTGATGATTGAACTCCTGGCCTCCTGCATACTAGGCAAGTGCTCTACCACTGTAGCCTCAGCCTTAACACACAAACACATAAACAGCATTCATTCTCCTCAGAAAACATGCATGGTCACATTTTATAAAAGTTAATAACCATCTGAGTCAAACTCCATGGTACAGATATACTGGTTGTAAATACAAATCCCAAATCCCATCACCTTTCTCATTAACTTATAAACTGCTAAAGTCTACTAGGAAGAATTATAAAGCATTTGTGACAAATATTCAAAATGCTCAAAATATTGATATTTTTAAAACATACTGATCAAATGAACCATAAAATATATTTTTGGCTTATTTTCAGCATTAACATTTTCATTCACATAGTACTAAGTACTGTTCTATAAATGGTATCTCAAACATTAGCCATACTAACTCTATAAATGACAAGACAGTTTCTGTGCAGAAGTGTTAAATGACTTTCCCCAGCTCAGCTAACCAATTAACTGATGGATCTGGGTCTTGACTTTGTATCTTACCCTCTGTGCCCAGTATCCTTTCATCCATACCAGACCTTTATTTTATAGACACAAGAGAACAGAAGTAGATATTCAAAGTGCAAAACAGAAATACTTCAAGGACACAAACTACATCTTCTATTTCTTCTGTAATTCACCACAGCACTCATGTTAAATTTCAATCCTCAAGAAGAGTGAGCACACAAAAGTAACCTTATTTCCATTCTCAACATCCACACACATGCAGATAAAATTCTGGAATTATGTACAAACCACTCATATAGTTTTAACACAAGTGGAGAGATGGAGAGATCATGGATAATTTAATTTTCTTATTTTAATCTTCATTTTGAAAAATATACACTCCTTAACACATATTACTTACTATTTTTGATTTTTTTTTTGGTACTGGGGATCGAACTCAGGACCACGGTGCTTTCGAAGCAGGCGCAAAGCCACTGAGCTAAATCCCCAGCTACTTACTATTAATTCCTCAGTAATTATCCAGATATACCCCTGAAGCTTTATTTTCATCTTGAATTAACCTCTACTTAAGATAATATTATTTCCTTTTTGTGCACAAAGTTTAATGTCAAGCAAATAGCATATGTGATCTAGTCAAATACATAAAAACAAAGCCTATGAAAAACCTTAACCCATCTCTAGGAAGAATCTTAAAAGTAAATGAGCCTCTTTGTGCCTCCCATTTTCCAAAACTAATAACAGAATCCTACATAGATAAGTTAACTTTTTAAAAATACATTAACATGCTGTGTGTGACTTATCTTAAAAATAATCCTATGGAAAAAGCAGAATATGTTCATTATCGTTTTGAAGGTCAAAAAACAGCCCTTATTAGAAAGTTTATTAAGTTGTCAGTATTAGCACTAAAACAAGAGCTAAAAGTTCCTGACTTATACCTCCAGGATATGGTAAGTGGAAAAAACAAGGTGGAAGAAGCATGGGTCTAGTATGCTACATTTATCTATGGGCTAGTGGAGGGGAATAAATACAAACACAACATGTAAATATTATCTATATGTGTATATACATATACATATATACACACATAAATACATATACATACATGTGTATGCATATTTACATGCATGTGTGTACATACAAAAATTCTTTGATTTTTATGACACTGGAGGATTAAGTCATAAAATATAAATTTTTAAAAAATTAACTACAGGGAGGAAACAGAAAACAGGGTAGGACAAACAAGAAGAGAAGCCAAATTTCTCTGCTACAACTTCCGTAAATTTGGCTTTGGTGCCATGTAAATCTTTACATGATTTTAAACCAAAGAGATTTATAAAAAGCAATCCCTAAGCTAGGCATGGTGGCATAGACTTGTGATCTCAGCAGTCTCAGAGTCTGAGGCAGGGGGATTACAAGTTGAGCCCACTTTGAGCCACTTAGCAACTTAGTAAGACCCTGTTTCAAAATAAAAAATGAAAAAATGGCTGGAGAGGTAGTGCAGTGGGAAAGCCCTGGTTCAATCTTGAGTACCACCAGAGGGGAAGGGAAAAAAAAGCAATCCCTAATTATCAAGTGCAAAATGAAACTATGTGTCACTGTGACAGCATAACCACAAAGACGTGAATTATTTCTTTAAAACAAGAATTTGACTATATAACTCAAGTATAATATACATGTCTTAGAGACTAGGAGACCTTCAAAGAGAGCTCAGAGTATTCTCAGTAAAAATATTGTTAACTACAATATGGATATTTTGATTCTGAAATTATTAGATGTAACACAAAACAGATGTTTAAATTTTGTGAAAGACAAAACATGTTGATAGATTTTGAAACCAAGATATAGATTTTCAGCATAAAAGAAGCACAAATATAAAATAAATGGAGTATATTCCTGTAATTCTATATTTGTTTTGGAAATATATGTGTAAATTTTTTATTTGGGTCTTCTTTAAAAAAAAAAACAAACAAAAGCCTTTCCATGTACCTGTGCAGTGAAAAGCCCTAGAACCATGAGTGATAGTAACCAACAAACCATGGAGCACTCCTAGCACCAGACTGCAGCCTCCAAACACCAATTCCACTAAAATGAAGAAAGAGTCTTTTAAATCTGCCAGTCTGGGTCAAAAATTAAGTAAAATAAATCTGAAACATATTGTCATGACACAGAACAAGAAAATTAAAGACTCCTTGGATTGTGAAAAATGGTCTCAGAAACAAATTTAAAGGGCACCGACAGGACCCAGGTGCGGGACACACCTGGACAGGTGGGGCATACCTGTAATCCCAGCTACTCAGGAGGCTGGGGCAAGAGAAAATAGCAAGTACAAGGCCAGCCTGGGCAACTTAGTGAGACCTTGCCTCAAAATTTAATTTAAAAAAATACGAGTGGCTGAGGCTGCAGCTTGGTGCTCTCTGGGTTCAACCTCCAGTTAAAAACAAAAAAGAGGCACCCTCAGGCCAAGGTTGGGATAATTTGGACACCAATAAGAATGTGCCTATTACAGTTAATAAATTCAAATTCATAAGGATATAACACTTCTAAAAAAGACCAAGATAAACAAAACTTAATTAGCATATTTAGAAGATGCTAGGGAACCAACTTACTGTGAAAAACTGTAAATATGCAGATTAAAAAATAAACACTTCAATTTGCCTTTCTTGTATATACCATATCTTAAAATAAATACCTAACGGGGTGAAGCTTCTATAGAAGCATTCTTGCTAAGAAATGAAGCAATGATTGAGTGAAAATACTACACTTCCAGGTCCTTAATAAAATATATCCAGGTAGTTATAATCAATGATCACTAACATTCCCAAAACACACAACTCCATATAAGGAAGCCCCTTGATAGAATTACCCATGACCGGGCCAGGGATTTAGCTCAGTGGTGCCACCACCTGCTTTGCAAGCACAAGGTCCCAAATTTGATCCCCGGTACTGAAAAAAAAAAGAATTACACACAACCACTTGCTAACAATTCAAAACAGTATCAGATTATGCTTCCACATTCAGTTACCAGCTTACAGAAATCAGGAAATAGAGGTGGAGAAAGAGAAACATGCTAAGTGACACCACCAGGTTTTAATTAGCAATATGTAGAATGTGCAAACTTCTGTAGGACAAAGGAATATGCTTCTTATTGAATAAATTCCAAAGATGGATGGATGGATGGATGAAAGAAGAAAAAGAGGGAAGAAGTAAAGAAAGAAGGAAGAGAGGGAAGGATGAAAGAAGAAAGGGAAGAAAGGAAAGGAGGGAAGGGTACAAGAAGGGGAGAAGAAAAGAAGTAAAAAGGAGGGAGAAATTTATAGATTAAAAAGATTGAAAGAGACTTTAAAATTATATTTTTAAAAAGGTCTTTAGAGATACACCACAACATTCATGAGTGAAATAATACGGTGTCTGGGAAAAGAAAGAGCAGATAGGGACAGAGATGAAACAAAATTGACCAGAGTTAAAAGAGCTGAAGATGGGTGATGGAGACATGGAACATTTTAAAAAATACTATCCTATTTTTGTTTATGTGTAAATTTTTCCAATAAAATAAGTTCCTAGTAACTAGTCTGTTTTCAAGCAAAACTGTAAGGTTAATGTAAACAATTAAAAATAGTGGCTAGATTATAGAATTAAAAACAAAATTCACTCAAAGAGTTACTACAACCCATGTTGTTTATTAGACTGCTGTGTTATTGTGTACTGATACTCATCCTACATAAAAAATATAATCTGGACCTTTGAATGCAAAGAGGACAACTGACTTGCAATTAGTGAAGCATGGAATTTTACTTCTTTCCTAAGGGTGACCCGGGCCAGGGATTTAGCTCAGTGGTTCTGGTGCCTGCCTCACAAGCGCAAGGTCCTGAGTTCGATCCCCAGTACCAAAAAAAAGGTGACCCTACTACTCTCTTTCACAGTAACACTGATGCTTGTATTCAACTTTTCTTTTAATCTATACAAATTCTTTGACTACATCTACATGAAAGAGGTGAAGGAATGGTGTCTAGTTAAAGAGAGGTAGGGAAGGCCAGGGATTTAGCTCAGTGGTTCCGGTGCCTGCCTCGCAAGCGCAAAGTCCCAAGTTCGATCCCCAGTAGCAAAGAAAAAAAGAGCGAGAGAAAGAGAGAGGTAGGGAAAGAGGCAAAACTTAGAAGCAAATGAAGTGCTGCATGATTCTCAGATGCAGTTCGTGTTAGTTTCATCATTATTCTCTCAAAAAAGAGCCAGTGTGAGTCAAATATAATCCACTTACCTTATTATCCAGTTTTCTGGCTTCCATTTCAAACAAGACAACTCTATTATCCTTTATTTCTTCTGCTGAAATCTATGAGTAGTTAAGGTAAATGAAAACAAATATGTTTTAGGAATTCTGACATATTCATAAACTAAGTATTTTTTAATCTAATAGTGTATAAACTCTATACTTACATAAATGAACTCTAAAATGTTTAATAAGAAAATGGTACCACTAAGAAAGATTTATCACTTGATCCCCTTCCCATTTGAGAAAGATCTCTCTCTCTCTCCACTTTCTATGATCTTTTATTTTGTTCTTTCTTTACAATTTAGGTTTCTCATATAAGAGAAACCATGTGATTTTTAAGCTTGTGTGTCTGATTGATTTCACTTAATATTATGGTCTCAAAGTGCATGCATCAACACCACAAAAGGAATGTAAACAGTATGTACTGCAAATATGTACTGATAAAAAAGGAAGGGAGGGAGGGAGGGAGGGAGGAAAGAAAAAGAAAAGAACAGAGAAGAGAAGAAAAGAATTTCATCCTGAAATAATATCCAGTTTTGTAAAGTATTATTGTACTATGGAAGTTTTTGTTAGAATAGTATTTCATTTTGATATGAAAATGTTGTACACAAAGCTGAACAATCTCAACAAGAACTTACAATATCAGAAATTTTACATAAACCACAATTGAGATTTTAAAAAAAGATGTGCTGCTGTTTTGGTAAAACCTTTTAGTTGAATTTTTTAAATTTTCATCACTTTTAGTTTCTGCTTACATTTTTATCATAATTATTTTAATTACTGAAGAAAATTTTGTTAGTAACAGTCAGAGGCAAATGCAGTGAAATGCGAAATTTCCTTTCTCTCTCCTCCTCCCCTCCACCAATCCTATTCCCCAGAAGTAAACACCCAGAGTCAGTGGATCTCTGTCTAGAGTGTATGTATGTGTATGAGGGAAAGGAGGAGGAAGAGGGGAGAGGAAAGGGGAGAGTGATTGTGTGTCCTTAACCTTTTTCTGTGCAAATATATTGAATTCTCCCTCACTCCAGTGGCTGTATGATTTTTCAGTTTGAATATAATTATTCTATTCCCTCCACCACTAATATTTGTGATAATTTGTTATTGTGTATATACTTCAGTGAGCATCCTTGTGTATTTTTGCACACTTGGCTAGTATTTCTGTAGGACAACTGCCTATATGCAATTGCTGAGCCATTTGTGTGTGCACATACTTATCATTTTAGTGTTCTTTGATATCTGATAATAAATTGCTCTTTCAGATGCTTCTGCTCAACTTATTTAACCTTATCCCTTCAACATTAGTTTTTGTGATTGTAAACAGCTTTCCTAATCTAGCAGGTGAGAAATGGAATTTTACTGTACATTCCTAGGTTATTAATAAGCTAGAACTTCTTTTCCTAGATATTTTGGCTATTTATATTCTCAAAATTTTCTCTTCATAGCTTTATTATTTATAATATTCGTATTGACTTTAATAATACTTCATAAATATTATTCCTCTACAATATAAGTTAGAAATTTTTTTTCATTTTGTCTTTTCATTGTGTATAACAATTTTTGCCAAATAAAATATTAAAATTTTTATATAGTCAAAAAAAAAAGATTTATCATTACTTCTGTTTGTGTAAATGAATATTTTCCCAAAAGATATCAAGTCTGCATTATGCAATTTCCTTTTTAAATATTGTTGCCCATACTGGATCTTCTCCTCTTGCCTAGGAAGCCCTGGAAGATTGAAGAATGCCCTCTGAACAAAACTAGCTAACGCTCTCCATACACTTAGAAGCTTGAACAAATCACACCTAGAGAACTCTATAAACTGAAATATCAGATCAGTGGTTTTCATTCAATGTAGCTGAATTATTCTGCTTGAAAACAAGTTAGAGGTTATTATGCCCCAAAGCAAGTATGCTAACTACTGATAATACTCTCTAGCCCATAAAAGTCAACTCTCCCCATAGTGAAACATTCTTATGCCTTTAGGAATCTAACCTAGAGCCAAACAACTGCTCAGATAAATGTTTTTGATAACTGCAATAACTCTTACACATGGCTCTCTCTCAAGAAGCCAGGATTCCATTCTCAGAGACTGGTATAGTTAGAATTGCTCTAAGGAATAGCTACCTGAACAGAAACTTTCAAGGATAAAGTATTCAAAGTGTGTCATTATATAATTGGAAATCTTAAATATGATAAAGTACATGTTCATTTGCTCAGGGCCAGTAACCAGCAATGGAAAATCTGGGTAGGAGAATGAATAGCAGAACACAAGAATGGAAAATGATGGTAAAGATTATAGATTCAATGGTAATGTTATAATATAATATCCATTTGGAATAAAATCCATTATGGAAAGTTTTTGTCATGTTGAGGGGAATGTGTCCTTTGTAGACAGCTAAAATGATCTATTCAGATTATGAAGCAGGTTCTCTCTAACTTGGGAATATTTTCATGCAAGAGGGGCAAGTATTACACAGAGGTACATCTGACCTCTATGGACAACTTAAAAAACTGAAATAAGACATTTCCACTTGTGACCACTGTAAGGCAAAGGTGGATGGAAGATCAAATGATAAAGCATAGTGTAAAGCATCTGTCTGATATGTGCACTTTTAGTACATCCAATTATGCTAAATCTTTCAAGGCAAAAGACAAATATTTTTACCATAATGTTCCCTTTCCCAGCAGGTTTGCCATTTTTGAGCACCAGTGGTCGAGTTAGCTTCTTACTGGAAACAATCTGTTAAAATTGGAAAGTAATACAAAAAACTATTTCACTTAAACATGTAAGTTTGCAAAATGAATAGTTTCCCCAAAAAATGAGTATAAAGTTCGCTTAAACACATTAGAAATACAACCGTTAAGTCTATTTCTTAAAGATATAGATAACATAAAACATTGAAAATGTACCTACACATTTAAAACTAACTGGAAAATACTTCCAAAAATCCTACTCTTGAAGATACAATCTCCCTGACCACTGGTTTCTTTACTAATCACTGTATTTCAAAGTTTAACTTCTCTCTTGTAATGAAAAAAGAGGGCCATATTCTCATACACAAAATCAGAGCCACAATCCCTCTAGGTAAACGATGGGCATCAAAAGACTCAATAAATGAGATTCAATTTTTCAAATGACACACAAGTTTGATATTTTACTTTCATAAAATATCATGTTTTTCAAAGTAATACAGTGTATCTTGGTACTTCCAAACTGATACATCTCTCAAATTTATTAGAATTTCAGCTACACTGTTATGTTTTTCTAAAAACTCCTTCAATTTTCTCTTTAATACCAGTTGTGAAAGTTTTACAAAACTGATCAATTCTATATTGTCCTTTGAGACATAGAAAACACCATGCTCTTCAAACAAGCTGAAATTAAACTGAAAAATAAACTAATAAAAGACAAATGTGAATGATAAATGTCACTCTATGAAAAAAAATGACTCTTCCCTTCTGATGCCTTTCTCAAGTTATATAATGGCTATGATCCCTCCTGATAAGCTAGGTGTAAAATCATGAGCCACCAGACACACCTTTCCCCTGACCAAGTTTATCATTAACTGAGAAGGCAGATAACATGGCCATTACAATAAAAATGATGACATGCAGTAGATAGTGCCAAAGTGAGCTCAAAAACATAGCTCCGAACTAGCCTGGGAGTCAGAGTAGGTTTATGGGGTAAGTGAGGTTTAAAGTGACATAGCTAAGGTAGGGGAAGAGCAGGTTAGGTAACAGGGTGTTGTGAGGGGATTGGGGTATCAGTCATGGTAGTTAGAGCATCAGAGACATTACTATTACTTCAATAGGACTAATGACTTAAACATAATAGAATCATACGGAACTCTACAAGAACAGAGGTATTGAGAGGCCAAAGAAAGCATCCCTAACTCAAAAGAATGAACAGGCTTTGCCAGAAACACATATCCTTGCCCTTAGAAAAACAGGATAAATTTTATAATGTTCAAGCCACCCATACTAATACATAAACTCAGTCTTTAAAGTGATTAATGCTTTACAACTTTAAAAATTAAACTAAAGAACACTTATCAAAAACACCAATTCGGTAGTTTAATTTATACAAAATAGAATATAATGGCTATTTATACTCACTTGTCCGAGGGTACATTCACATTCTCCTAAGAAGTCATCATCGCTCAGCTCAACAGTCTTGTTGTCAATGTCATAAATTCCGAATTTCAATTTCTGAACCACTTCAAAGTAGTAATCAATAATAAATGTCTTGGAAAATTTGGGATTCAAGCAATTTTTAATCCTTTCAGTGCGTTCAACCTATATCCATCCCCAAAAACAAATTAAAAAAAAAAAGTTTCTTCAGATCAAAGATGCACTGGATTTTAACTTTATGTAATAAATATAAATTAAAATAAAAAATATATATATTAAAATAAATACATTAAATATGACATGAAAACTAAAGAAAGTTTCTGTATGTATATGAAGAATTCCATGGTCAAGGACAAACTTATCCAAAATAACTACATTAATAGAAGAGACAGTGTTATTATTTTTAACATTTTAAATGAACTCTTCACCTTGTCAAAAGAGCAAATCAAACCGCTTTTCACCTAAAGTATATAATATTACCTCATACCACTGTTGACCACTTGTGTTCAAAAATAGCACACATAGAGGGTCCGACTTTGATGTTGCATCAAGATCCAAAAGATTGTTACAGGAAATATTCAGCTCCACCTTTGTGACACATTGCGCAGCCATCTCTTGAGCTGTTAGGAAACCAAGGAGACCAGAAAGGAAATGAAATGGTGGTGTTAAGAACCACACTCTTTCCTAATAAAAACTGCTAATTTCTTAAGACATTGCTGGAAAAGGCTCAGAGTAAATGTGCTACAATGAGATAGGTTTGCGGTATCTATTAGCTCATCCCAGTTATACTGATTTATTACTCTGCTGAGATAAAATTAATTTACTATACAGCAGTAAAATATAGCTTTTACAATGTCAACTAATATATACTAATCTTTTCACCTTACTGTACAGTTTACTGTTCAGAAAAAAATCTAATATTGAGTATTCACTTTAACATTGTAAAAAACAGATTAAACTACCATTTAATTTTATTTTTATTTGTTCATTTAACAAGACAATGAGTGGGATATTTTCTATTTTCAAATAATTCTGGCTAAGACCCAAACTTGGGGGAAGAAATGACTCCTGTGGTCCCATCCTTCCATTCCCGTTCCCTGCTCTGCAGAAATGATTCTCAGTCTGGGCTGCTTTGTTGGAATCGTCTGTGGGAGCTTTCAAAACTACTGATGCCACAGTCCCACATAAAGAAATTTAATTCATCTAGCTTAGGGTGCACCTTGGGCACCAGCTCCTTGGATGATTCTAATGTGAGGATGAAGATGACAAACCTAATGCTCTACAAACAACATCCAACAAATTCATATGGCCCACCTTCTCCAGTGTCTTGCTAAGAAATATCAGAGTTCATCTAACTTTCACAGACCCCTCTCATTCCCAACCTCTAATCAATATATGAAAAGGCCCAGGAATAAGGCAGAGCTCATGATGGAGGCCAACCTTGAGAAAGGATACAATATTTAAGGTGAGCTGTTTTCCTCCCCCGACACAGGGAATGAAAGAGACTGCAAGTGTCACCAAGAAAAGGAATCAGGCATGCACTGCCCAGCTGGATGTCCACTTAGCCAGCTGTCTACACTCAAGAGTCAAGTGGGAATTCATGGTGATAGAACACATTTTGGAGGTACAACAGTACCTACTCCCCTAGCACTGCTGGTAAACATCCTAGAATGTGAGGAATTCAAAGCTCTTTGCCCTCCACTTTGAGACTTATCTGAAATCCCAGGATAAGAGGAATAAATCCATTCATCATCCTGTTACAAGTAAATATGGCAGTAGCAGTTCTGAGCTATATAAAATGCCCAAGCAAGTATGAAAAAATAAAAATTGACATTTAAAGAATCCTTTGACACTGTTTTTAAAAAAAAAAAACTCATGTCTTAATGAAAACTCTACAGATTCAAAAAAAGTACCAATTCCCAATGTATGTTAAAAATCAATACAGTACTAGCAGTTAGGTTTCTAAATCACAGCTGGAGTGGTGGTACATGCCTCTAAATCCAGCTACTCAGGAGGGTGAGGCAGGAGGACTATAGATTCCAGACCAGTCTGAGCAATGCAGTAAGATTTTATCTCAAAATAAAAGGTTTTTCTGAAAGGAGGAGAGGGCTTGGGATGTAGCTCAGAGGTAGAGTTCTTTCCTAGCATGCCTGGGGCCATGGGTTTGATTTCCAGCATCACAAGGGGAAGAAAGTGTTAAGTGGTAAAATACATAGGTGCTGGGAGCACTGTGCTGTAGATCACTACAGTCAGGCCTAACTCGCCTCTTTTTTTGGATGAGGTAGGGCCCCATGTGGAACGAGGAACAAGCATCTTGTTCACTTCCTCCCGAAGACAAGGCAGGGCCCCAAGGAAGTAGAACAGGCCTGGCCGAGAAAAGGACTATCTTCCTAGAGAAACATCAAACATTATCTCCTGCACACCATAGCCACTCTCTCTATTTTAATCAGCCAGCCCCTTTTGTGCAAAAGACACTAAGGCAAGGAGAAGGCAATGAAGCAGTCAGAGGAGAATTAACAGTGCAGGTGAGACTTGTACTGCTTGGGCTCTGAAGGACTCAATTTGAACATGGGACGTGGGAGACAGCACAGAGCCAAGAAAGATAAGAGACATTAGAAGGCACAGTGAAGACATCTCATTACATGTCACAAAGGTGAGTTATGTAGAGGAACTCAAAGCTGGACAAGCTCAGGGGGCAAGTTTAGAGTATCCTGAGAGCCAGCCTCAAGGAGTAGGTGAGTGGGTACAAGGTTCTACTGCAAGATTATAAACTGGAGGTGATGGAACAAAATGGGTTATATAAAATGTCACTTGTCAAATATTTTCTAATTCTACAATGTTTTACATGTCACAGTGCTGTAGCATGACTGCAAAAAGATCTCTTTAACAAGCCATAAACAAATACAGAATTCAATACTAAAATGAGCAGTCTTCATACCATACAATTCAGAAGATTAGTGTTTTCTTTCTAGACATACATAAGCAGCAGAGAACGTCTGTATTAATAGTGTTAATATAATAGTGACTCCTTTTCATCTTGATTTATTATTTAAAAACTAAAAGTACTAAAAACATAACAAGAAGCAAGAATTGTTAAGGAAGCAGAAAAACCACAACCACAAGAAGACAGCCCAGTTGGAAAATATCCACATCCATGAATCTCTGACACACTGACACTGAGCCCTCATCTGCAATCTTTTTGTCCTTATTCTCTTCTCTGTCTTTTCCTAGTTCTTCTCTCTTCCTGCTCTCATTCTAGAAGCTGTGAGCATCACTTAAGGCTGTTAACTTGTGGTCCTTGTCCCCAGTTATCTCTCCTCTGACCTTATTGCTCTCAAGGCTTCCGGCATCTAGTTAGCATAAAGAGCAGTATCCCCAAATCTACATCCCTCACCCCTGCCTCTATATACAATTTTAGCTTTTCCCTTCTTTACACCTATTCATCTCTGGAGTATCCCTCTCCCTGATTTGCTCCTTCCTACTCAGTTCCCCCTATCACAGGCTCTAGAATGAGACCATTTGAATTTTCATCTGTTTGCTCCTACTTCTACTTTTCTCATCTATGGAAGGAAAATGACTGTCCCCATCTCAAAGAGTTGTGCAAACTGAATGAGTTAATATACTTAAATGGTGTCTAAGAACTTCAAATTTATTACTATAATTTCAGTGCTACTTGTCACCAGGTTTTAATCCTCTCTTACCTACCCCTTGTTTCACATTTTTATTACAACATTCCATGATGATTTTCCTGGTTATTCCAGTCCATCATGTTGCTTCTTCAAATTCTTGCTGCACTCACTAGTATAGAACGAGATCAAATATGGAGTAATGTATACCTGAGGTGAATCCTGCATCTGGTGTGAGCTGTGAAATGACATATATGTGACTTCAGCTACCTGAGCTGAGGTTTCCTCATCAGAAAAATGGAGATATTACAAGGAAATTTTTCAATCTAGCATGTGCCAGCCATCTTGTTTTTCCTTCCTAATATAGTCTATGGAATAAATAATAGTTGTAGAATTTTATTCTTTTGCATAAGGTACTTTAGAGTCTTGCAAGTAACATGTCAGTAGTAGACACCGAATGAGCAGAGTGTTAAAAACTCCCCAAGAACCATAAGGAGAGAATTCTGTACTAACCAACCTAAAAGTCTGTACATTTCTAAGGATGGGGAGAACTCAACAGAGAAAGCAGATATTTACATCCAAAATCAGTCCCACATTAAAGAGGGACAACATATCAGCAGAGCATCATTTCTTTCCCTAAAAATGCTTAAACAAAAGCTACAAAAATAGCATGCCAGGCACAGCAGATTATTGAGCAAATTGCTGACAGCTACATTACTGCACTGTTGCCAGGAAGCAAATCCCCTCTGCTGGCAGCATTCCCCTGGCTGTACCCTACCTTTCACTGAGAAGCCAATTATGGCGGAATGGCAAATGGAAGAAATCACATAAACAGTCAGATCTGGAACCTTAATGGCAACATTCCTTCCTTTGCTCCTTGCTCCTTCCTTTCTATCAATTACCCAGTTCATAAACCATAATGTTTGAAAAGAGCAATAGGGGGTAGATCAGTGGAAGAACACTTGCCTATTATAGGCAAGGCCCTGGGTTCAATCCCCAGCACTGCAAATAATAATGACAATAATAATAATAAAAGAGCAATAAGATACCTCATCTATAAATTAGGATGAGAGAAAATAAATGTTTTACACCCTTAAGTATGATTTGCCTATGATAAGGAACAGGCAGAAGAATATGTGAGCAACTAAAGAATAAGCCTATGTATTTCACTCCCCAACGACAGGATAGTAGAGGCAAAAACAGAAGTAGTCACTAGGATTAGACAACAGCTTCCCTACTATACTGGAAAACTGTCTGGTTCAAAGCACTCTCCTGAAAAGGGAATAACCCTTAGAAAAACTAACCATATCAAGCATTCTCCCAGTCACTCTAACTTTCTGAATCAACATTACAACACTGATTTTATAAACTTAAAAATTAAGACCTAATAGTTAAATTAGAGTCTGATATGTAAAATTAAATAGTCACTTACATGCTCTGGCTGAGTATCCTGAAGTCTTATCCGCTTTCTCTTTTCTCATCTCACCTTAAAGCTACTCTTAGATTTATTCAGTAAGGCTGTCATGGAGATTCTGCCTGCTGTAACCCCAAATTTCTCTCTAACATGGAGGTACAGACCCTTCCCTATATCCATAGTCAAAACCCTACTTCAGGTCTTCCATGTCTTGCACCTGCCTACTGTAATAATCCCCTACTAGGCGTCCCCCTCCTGCCAGTCGAGGCATCATTTTTTCACTACTGATTTCTCACTACTGGCCACGAAGGCCTACTATAGTACTATAAGCAAAGTCTGGAATTCTTGGCTTGGCCCACATCTGTCTCTAGCCTACCTGGTAGCTACATCTACCTCTCATAGTCCTTCACCATTCACTCCAAATGACAGTTCATCAGGAAAGCTGATGCTGATATCCTCTGAATTCTGTATGACACTGATCCTCCCCCCAATACTGTCATGTGGTTCATCATTTCTATTTACTGTTAGCTGAGACAATGACCAAGTTCCACTGCTTCTTCAAGTCTTCCTAAAGCGTTAG